ACGTAGTTCAGCTTCCAGCTGAGCAGTGTCGCAGGTCAAGGCGTGCATCATCCCAAAGGTGATGAGGAGTTCCTGAATATGAATAGCCTGAGTCGCCTGTCGAATCGCAGAGTCAAGACCTCGAATTTGCACCTGAAGATGTGGTGAGGTGATGTAGTCCATGAAGGAAGGGTTGAGGATAGCAAAGCGGGTGCGAAGGAGGGAGATGGCGAGAATCAACAAACCATGTAGATGAAGGATTTCTCGATGAAGAATAGTTTGGGCCCTCATCGTGACGCCGTCCACGGGGTTGAGACCAGCCGGAGAGGGAAACATGGCAGGACGAGGGAGCGGATCAACTGAAAAGCTAAGGTTCCAACAGGTTCCAATGAACCTTGAACAGACTTCGGTCGCTGCGACCACGTACGGCCTGCCCAGGGGCTGCCACCTCTGACCGCTGCGGTCACGTAAAGGCATGTGCCAACTTGGAATTCCGAAAATGAGACAAAAATCATCGTACGTACGGCCTATAGGCCACCTACGCTCGCTGCGAGCGACTCTGTATCCGGGCGGTGGATACGTTCGACGTACACCAGTTCGACGGGTCCACGGGAGGCACTCTGCGGGCTCATCCCGGGTTGGCACAAGGCCAAACACACTTAGGATATTGTGTACTGAACTGAAAGCGGTGCCACACGCCAGCCTAAGAAACCCAAATCCTGAAAGGTCCAGGAAAGTCCTAAAGAACCTGGAGGTCTGTAAGAAGAAGTGAGGCCAAAAGCTCAAGGTCGAAGACGGCGAGCGAGTCGAACAGGGTGACGGCGGCTCGTGCACATCTGCAGGTGAGGTTCTTGGCTTAGCCTCGTGCCATTCGGAAAAAGGAAAATTGCAGGTACGTCGGTGAGCGTCCCCACCGATATCAGTGTTCAACGCAAGCCTCTTCGTTGGGCTGGTACTTGCATGAACAACCAGCCCCCCTGCTGTGGTAAGAACGAAAGTGTAAGAAAACAGGTACAGCAAATCCAAAAGGATCCCTATGATTCCAAGGGTTACACACACACACACACGCACGCCATCTTACCACACACACGCCTCCTCCCTCCCCTCCTTCTCATCCTCGTCCATCACATCATCACTTATACTACACGTCTTAGCACAACCGCCTCATACACCTTCTCTCCTCACACTTCGTTCTTGACTTTTCATCTCACTACTCCGTCTCCCATATGATGTTCATATACGTTTGAAATTTGTAAAACTTATCATGTGGGGTTATCCGGTCCTTTTATGGATATTCTGATCGGGTGTCTGTGCGAGCGCCCTTCCTGTGCCAGACTGTGACCAGGATCCGGAGCTACTTAAGTTTCAAGCCACTTTTTTCGCCGGAGCAAATACATCTCTCCGAGTTCATAGCGCATCGCAGCCGAGACATGGTCTTACGACTGGACTTACACACGGAAGCGCGCAACACAGCGGCGCAACAGGCCTAGAAACAGGCGCGCGCTACCGTTGAGGAGGACGCTGCGTCGGTGGCATCGGATCGAAACGAAACTTTGGTCGAAGTCGAGAACGTCGGCGGCGACGCAGGTTCTGACGAAGAAGTGATGGGTGATGCAGGGAATGAGGTACAGCGTGTGGCTGGTGTAGACCTCTCGACGCATGTCCTGGAAGATCCGGCTGCCGTTCGGGAACATCTTTCGCAGACTTCTTTGCTCGCTGCAGCGCGACAGAAGGGCGCGCGCACCAAGATTTGCAGGTGGACCTCTATCGTCGGGCAGACGTGGCCAAGGACGTGCTTGACAGTGACGAAGTCATTGCTTTGCAGTTTGCGAGGGCGGCTGATGTTCGCGTCGCGTCGCTCGAAGAACGTTTGCGAGGTCCTGCGGCGGCGGCCAAGATTTTGGCGGAGGAGGCAGCTTTGAATCGTGATCAGTTGGGCCTCATTGCCGTCGTTACCAATGTCCTACAGCAAGCGTGGAATGCATTACCACCGAGTTCCCAGACACAACTGCGCAAAGACGACACGTTGCTGCGATGTTTGTTGGTCGGCGGTGGTGGCTGCGGAAAAACGCGCATCATCAACCGCGTTCTGCGACCGCTGTTTGCGGCTTTTTTTGGTTCTGATGCTGCGCAGACACAAGCGCCCTCCAACAAAGCGGCGCGGCAAATTCATGGGAAGACGGTGCACAGTGCCAACAAACGGGGCATAGACGCATCACTGCGCACAGTGCGTCTGCGCCTGTCCCCTGCGACGAGAAAAGCACTGGAGCACAGTACAACTCCCTTGGGCGCGATGATATTGGATGAATTTTCACAGTGCAATGGACACATGTTGCACGCAGATGCCCTGCGGAAAACTTACGGACGACAAGCTGCATACGCCTTGGATCTCCATCGCTACGCGGAGTCGATGGAAACCTGGGGACGGATGCCTGCGGTGGTCATTGCAGGCTGGGTCTACTAGTTTGTTCCTTTTTTCGGTTTCTTTGTTGACAAATTTTAGATGACTTTTGTTTTCGGGCATGTGAGTGAGACTTTTCATTACTGTCTTGTCCTCTGTGGCACACGCGCGCGCAGGAGATGAGCTACAACTGCCTCCGGTTCCGTTCGATCATTCTCTGCTGGCCACCACCGAAAAGGCACCAGTGACGAGCACAAAGCAGGTGTGCATATTTGGGCACTTCACGTATTATGTCTATCGTTTGCGCACGGCAATGCGTTTCCAAGACCCAGTTTTGGTTGCGATCTTGGACAAGATGCGGACTCCAGGTGGTGCGAAGCTATCACAAGCCGAGTGGCGAGCACTGGTAGCCACTGCTGTGGGTGGGCGGGCAGACGCGCAGAAACTGATCGGCGCAGAGAACGTTTATCAAGCTTGCTATACATGGTCCGTGGTGAATATGGCGTACACTCGTCGGAGTTTTGAGTCGGCCAAAGCTGCTGGTCGAACACTGTACGCCACACGTGCAGTTGATGTTGCGCAGAATGTGCATCCAGATCGGGCCGCAGCGGTGGCGCAAGCTGTTCTGCAGCATCCGAATATGAATGAGACCGGTCGCTTACCTCATTTTGGATTGTATCACATTGGCATGGAAGTCCGTCTCACGCAGACGTTGGCGGCGCCGCATGTGGTTGTGGATTGCACGGCCATCATCCGCGGTTTTCATTTTTCTGCGGAAGATCGTCGTCGCGGTGATTTACATGCTCCTTTTGTTGTGTTGCGGAACTTGCCTTCGAGGCCATCTATGTGGAATTACAAGATGTTCAGCAAAGCTTTTTACCTGCTGAGCCATGTCCTCATCATACACCAGAGCTAGACCCTGACTGCTCGGACTCGGATTGTCTGCGGCATGTTCGCGGCGCGACCGTATACCAACAGTCGAGCTTGGTCTTTGAAGGTCTCGCTTCCTGGTCTGAGTACTGGACAAGCGGAAGAAGTCGTGGTCAAAGTTCGGAGGACGCAAATGCCTTTGGTGACAGTGAAAGCCTGCACATTGCATGTCTTGCAAGGCACGACGACCGATACAGGGCCCATTTTCCATTGGCGCTTTCCACGCCGCTTGCAGAAGGATATGCGATGGCTGGCTTGCTACGTCGCTTTGTCGCGATTTTAGAGCAAGGACCGCCGGATACCTTGCCTGCTCGCTTTCAGCAGCTCTTTCAAGAGAAAGAAAAGCTGACGCAAGAATTTGCTTTGGAATGTTTGCCGACGTTGAACTGGTGACGCGTGCTTCGACGTACTCAGAGACACTAATTGCAGTGACACCAGCTCGTCGGGTTCCAGCGCGGCTCCGCCTGTGGGACACGCACTGCCCGCATCGGTTTCCAGCACAGTTCCGTTTGTGGGAGGGGTTAATTGATATTCAGTTCCAGCACGCTTCCGCCTATGGTGGGTGCAACTGGTCTAGTGGATACACAGACAGCTTCAATGTCCATCCGCTTTACACAGAGTACCGCGCGCGCGAGACCGCCGCTTGTGAGAATGGTGCTTTCATCGAGTTCCAGCGCGGTTCCGCGTGTAGGGTCTCATGGATACACAGACAGCTCCGATGCCAACCAGCTAACATGCTCTGTCTGCGATTCCGCGCGCCGCAAGCCATGCCCAGAAAAAGTGCGCGCTTGCAGTCTCCTGCAGCAATATACCCGGAAAAAGATGTGCGCTTGCAGACTGCTGCATTTCAGCCTTGCGCTTCTATTTTGCGCTTCCAGCCTTGCACTTCTATTTTGCGCTTCTGGACATTTCATTTGGAACTTTCAGCCTCCTATTCGGATTCGCGGGCGCTACTCTCCCTACTACTTCCATCCACTTTTACTTTCTCCTCCTTGGTGCTCGCGGGCGCTTCAGTTTGGGGTCTCTTGCCGGGATAATTCCTGTCTGACATGCGCTGTGACATATGGACCAACTTCAGTCTTGGACCTGGTATGTGTTCTGACATGTATTCCGAGATTTGTTCTGCCATCAATGATATCCTGGGTCTAGCATAAAATCTGACATTCTACCTGGCACATACTCTGAGTTCTATCTGGCAACATTGCTGGCATTCTATCTACCATAACTGCTTGCACTTTATCTGGCATCATTACTGGCATTCTATCGGGCAAAAACTCTCGCACTCTACTTGGCAAACACTCTGGCTCTGTCTGGCGTACATGTGGACATATTCTCTGACCTTCTAACTGGCTTATGTTCTGACATTCTATCTGGCGAGGTCCGGCGGTGCCCACTGCGATCTGGCGCGTGCTGCTGAGGTCCGGTAGTGCCCACTGCGATCTAGCGCTTGCTGTTGAAGTCCGGCAGTGCCACTGCGATCTTGCGCTTGCAAATATTGCAGTCCGGCAGTGCCCACTGCCATCACGCACGGGCAGTGAAGGTGTAGCCCACTGCGATCTGGAGCTGGCACGGAGGAGAAGAGGAGACGAGGAGGAGGGGAGAGGAGGAGAGGAAGGAGAAGAGCTATGATAAAATCTGAAAACCCTCACCTGCAGGTGGGAAAAGAAACGTCACATACATAAACCCATTCCCCACCTGTCGCTGTACGCCTTCTTCGCAGTCGTTGTCGTGATGTCGGGCGCCGAAGCAGTCGTAATGTCGGGACCTGTAGTAGTGTCGGCAGCTGTAGTAGTAGCTGCCGTGGTAGCTGCCGTGGTGGCTGCTGTGGTGGCCGCCGTGGTGGGCGGTGCCGTGGTCGGCGGCGCCGTGGTCGGCGGCGCTGTGGTGGGCGGTGCCGTGGTCGGTGGCGCCGTAGTCGGCGGGGCCGTGGTCGGAGGCGCTGTGGTGGGCGGTGCCGTGGTGGGCGGCGCCGTGGTCGGCGGCGCCGTGGTGGGCACGGTACAACACTCAAGTAAAAGGTTGTAGTGGCTTATTCCGCCACCTGTAGTTTTGCTGACGCACCACTGTGTTGGGGTCTCCCCTTCTTGATAGCACGTGTCGACAACTTGACAATTTTGTCCGCCGCTCCACGTGCAACTCTTATCGACACATTCTGTGTCCTGTCCACCCTTGACGCATGATCCAAGGATCCGCGTGTTTGGCGGAACTGTGAAGCAATTTTGTTCCAAGTCCTGGTCGTCGTTGTCTTCCCATTTGCATGAGGTGGTTTCTTCGGCGAAATCACAGGCTTTGGGGGTTGAAGTGGAGGCGGGCAAGAAGCAGTCCACATCTTCATCTTGCGTTAGTAAGTCACCTCAGATCCCGCTCTCGCAAACCAATCCCCTCTTCCCTGTTTGTGGCGCTTTGCCCACCGTTTCTTCTTGCCAAGTTGCATGTGCAACCCCAATCGCCATTGCAAATGTACACTTTATTGCCCCCCCCCTCCTCGTCGATTCCGAAGGGGTTGGGAGTAGGCCATTCACAAGAAGCCGTGACGCTGCCACGGCTGACGCTCTCCACCCACGCGGCCTCGACACATGGGAGTTCCACCAGTGTCCCTTGACGTCTCGGGGTTGGCCATTGGTAGGTAGCGTGCAAGAACCGAGAAAATAAACAGAGCCAATGACAAGAAGCCTTAGGCCCTGGCAAAACCATTTTTCACGCCCAGCTGCATCAGGACTGATGGGTCCTGCGTGATGAGAAAGTTCTTTCTCATGGACTAGCATGCCATATGTATTCTTCGAAGAAGTCGCTCTGCGGAGAAAAAAATAGAGGAGTATCCATGAAAACCCATTGGCGAGAACAAAGGAATCTGTTGTTCCGCGCCTCCAACTGTGGTGTCGTTCCGCAAGCGCAAACACTTACGAAGCATTCTACAGCTACTGCAACCTCTCCTCCAGCGGCTCGCACGACTGATTTCGTCCAGGAACATCTGAAAGGGCCAATCCACACAGCGCTACAAACACGACGCTACGCATCATGATCATCATGAAGTTGAGTCCACTCTTTGAGTTTCAAGGCTGCAGAACTCAGGAACCAACAAACATGACCATGGCAGCGATGCAGACTGCTAGATTCTCACGTGCGATTTTCTGAACGAACTGAAACCATCCTTTAAATGATGCAGTGTTTACCAAATATGTTAGGACCGTTAGGAGTTTCGTGCATTGCATATTGTATAGGAAAATGCACAGTTTGCTAGTTGAAAACTACTTCATGGACTGAAGCGCTTTTTGTTCGAAAATGACCGCTACTTTGTCATGGTAGCGGAGCTGCTGAGATCCCAGGGCCAAAGAGACTGGGGGAGCAGCTCGGGGTGATCGATGGGAGAGAGACACACGAAGACTGTTGGAGTGTGGTTGATTCTGCTTGTGGAGTTGTTTGTATAGGGCATGAGATTGAGTTGAAGCAGTACATTCAGCATTGTATGGATTGTTTGCATTGTGCATTTACGTTACAGTTGTTCTTGGAGAGCGTGTTGGTGACTACATTTCGGCAGGAACCAGGAGCATGGAACTTGAGAGGGTTTGTTGAAGGAGTTGTTGAACTTTGTATCCAATTCTTGAGCCCGATACTCGGTTTCGTTGCGTGGCGGCTGGAAGCATGTGGACCCACGAGGAAGCGCTTGAGTCCTAGAGAACACAGGGAACAGAGAAAGAAGAGAACCTCAGGTGTTTGGAGGATGAGGAGATTTCGTAGGTCGGTGAATTTTTGTGGTTTACAGATTTTGTCTCTTACATATGAGTTGGAGCGTGAGTGCAATGGATACCCAACAGTTTCAGCAGATCATGGGTGCCTTCGACTTGGTTTTGCAGACAGAACGCGATGACAGAGAGTGCAGTTGGCATGATTTCGAGATTGCCGGAGATGATCAGTACAGCTGGAGCAGCATCGTCCTCGTCATCCCAACTGGCGAGGAACTTGGAGAGTGCTTCGAGGATTTTGAAGGCTCCGGAGGTGTTCGAATCGTTGGATACTACCACATGATATCACGATGATCAAGTGGCGGCATAGCTTTTTGAATTGGCTTTCGTACAGCAATCACAAGTTTGTTGATGGTATCAAGGACGTAGAAAAGCTGCAACCCAATGTTGAGATTGAAGATGACACATGGGGTGAAGAAGAATGGGAGATAGCCCACAAATTGTATTCCATCTTGACTTCGTACTTGAAAGGTTCCCCATTACAACTTTCAAGAGCACATAGTGAGCAGAGGAACGGCTTCAAGTTGTGGAAGGCCTTAGCTGACCATTTTGCACCGGCTCCACGACAAAGATCACTAGCCCTCAGTCAGGCGATCACCAACGATCCAGCGATGACTTCAGATCGACCTCTTTCAGAACAGTTGGCAGGTCTTGAGGCCCTTGTTCAGGAGTACGACATTTTGAGATCCCCTGCATTCGACAAGGATGTGCTTCTTGGAGTGTTGTTGAGGATTTGCCAGATAACATTCGTCAACATTTGACCTTTTCAGTTGGAGAAGGGACAACATACAAAGATGTTGGTGAGAAGGTTTTGACTTATGAACGATCGAATAGAGCATGGACAATGGCAGATGCATTGAAACAGGTTGCACAACCAAGTACAAAGAAGCAGCATTCGTTGAGCAGTGTTGGAAACGACCAAGGTTTAGCCCCTATGAAGCTGATGCTGTTACTTGGAAAGGAAAAGGCAAACAGAAAGGTAAAGGACAGAAGGGAAAAGGTAAGAACAGTTGGAGTGATTGGTCGAACGCTTGGAACAGTTTCAATTCATGGTCGAAAGGACAGAAAGGAAAAGGAAACAAGGGCAAGAGCAAAGGAAAGTCAAAACGAAAATCCAAAGGGAAGAACTTCAACAACAAAGGTTACAAAGGAAAATGAAAAGGAAAGAGTTCGGATCGGTGCCGAATTTGCGGTCAGAGTGGACACTGGGGAAACGAGTGTCCCAATCGGCCCTCACCTATGGACATCAGGGAGGTGAGACAGAATGAGACTGAGGGTGCACGGCAACAGGATGATGTTCGTCGTACGACACCCTCGACATACAGTTCAACAGCAAGCACAACAGCTTCGACAGGAACTGGCCGCAGTGTCCGAAGGGTTCATATGTACAATGTAGCGACTCCTCCAGAGACCCTTCCCGAGGAGTATGCTTTGTCAGAAGCGTAGTTGAAGTTCATCTTGTTGGAGACACTTTTCAATCAGAGCAGTGTCGATATGTGATGTGGAGAGCGAATTTTCTTGCCATCGTGGAACCAGTGTACAGGTTGAACAGTGGAATATCTTTGACTTGGATGAAGAGCAATGGACGGCCGAGCCTCGCAGACGATCCGTTCTAGGAGTGGCTTTGTGAAGACAGTGCTTCTTTGGAGCCAAGAGAAGAGGCATTTCAGGTTCCAATCGTTCAGGACTCAGATCAGACCGAATGGGTGATTCTAGATTCAGAGGCAGACTTGTCACTCTTGCCATCAGAAGTCCAAGCCGGACAACCGGTGGATGAGGCGCCACGTTTTCGGCTGGAGGACGTCCAGGGAAAGGCGTTGCAGATCGGAGGATGCGAAGAGCTCAGTTGGCATATACACAAGCCTTTTCAAACGACTCACAAGAGGAGGAATGTGTTTTGAACGAAGAGTTTGTGATGGCAAATGTCACAAGTCCTTTACTTTCAATGGGAAGACTTTTGAAACCTGGCTGGACATTCTCAGGCATGTTGGAGGAAGATAGGTCACATGTGAATGAAGAGTTGCATGGGAAGTGTGCTGGAATGCTAGTTTCCCCCGATTTAGCATGCAGAATTCCGGTGTAATTCAAGAGAAACTTGTTGAGCATTTTGGCATGTGTACGACGGATTGAGACAGCAGTACATGCAGTACGGGGAGTTGTGGTGAAATTCAACATGGATGTGGATTCTTTGAGAGAAGGCTGGAGTTTCATAGAGAATGGGGACCCTGTTCATCTTCAGAGAGCATCAAGGAATTTCTTTGTTTTTGCTGGAACCTTTTCGTCGGTCTGGAAATTCAGAACAACAATTGTGAAGATTGGCCCCTATGGGGAGGTTGTAGAGCTCTGTGAAGATTTGACTCGGCATAGGTCAATAGAGAGAGCAACATCCCAGGAGTTTTATTCGCGACCTTAGTCCTGACGTTCCCTTCCACGAGTTTGTCACCTTTGAGTAGTTTCATGTGTGAGATCCAATCAGGTGGAGAACAAGACCAGATCATTGGAGTTGGACTTCAAGCAGCACCCACCGTAGAACCACAGCTTAGCAACGTGGAAGAAGCGGTTTTTTCATCGGGAACCAGGGGTGCCTGCAGAGTTGAGTGCTGTAGAGCCTAGCATTGCGGAGCGAGGACAAGCAGGAGGCTTAATTGAGAATCCAGAGTTCATTTTCGTTGATGGCAAAGAATTGAGACAGTCAAGTTCAGTGAAGGACTTGAGAGAAGGGTGCATGTTTTTTGGAATCAATCAGAGTGGATCAAAGAAGAAACTTTTTGAAAGGCTTTGTCATTTCTTGGAGCCGCAATACAAGAGAGATGCAGTGAAATTTTCAGAGAGTTTGCAAAGGAAGATGGCAGGACCACAGGCAACAGTTCAGACAAGACCAGAAGATATGTCAGATGAGAAACAACAACAATTGCACGAGGTGACACACTTACCCTTCGCAAGTTGGTGCAGTGTTTGTGCGCGCGCAAAATCGAGAGAAGATAAAACCTGGGCAAATGCTGATTTTTTGGTTGAGGACACAAGCACACGAGTGATACCAGTACAACTAGATTGGTGTTTTCTTGGCAAGGATTGCCCGGCTTTGTGCGTGGTAGACAGTCGAACAAGGTATGGAAACGTATTCCCAACGACAACCAAGGGAGCGTTCAGGCAAGCAGCTGAGGTGGCAGTGAAGTTTTCACTAGATCTTGGCGATGCTTCTATGGTAGTTTTTGTATATCATGCAACTGGTGCAGTTGCAACTGGTAGATTCCAACACAACCAAGAACCAACAACGAAGGGCGGTGCCAAAGCCAACACCTTAGCTGAATCCCGAGGCACTCACAAGTGCCCACGAACCATCGCTTGTTTTCCACGCGAGCCCGGGCTGGCTCAAGGCCTGAGTGAGAAAAAGGGGCCACGGAACAGCAAACCATGACCTCAGTGAGCGACCAACAGCCATGCATGTTGCACGGGCCACAACTTTACTGGTCGTACCCGGCGTGTGCACGCATCACACGAGTGGCTTCTCAGCCCTGGTGGTTTGCTTTCCGAGCACTAGTCACGAAGTGCGGGTCATACGAAAGCATCCAGAACATTGTCTCAAGAACTGGATCGTCCCGCGGCGGCACTCGGATGACCGTTTGGTCATTGCATCTCCCAGCATCCAGTCGCGTGAAAGCCATACGAGGCGAGTGCCAGCACGTTGAAAGGATTGCTTTAGTTGGAAAGCTTGCGCAGCCGTTTGAGAGGCCGAGATACGGTCCTTCTTGCAGCGTTACTGCGTCGAACCCTCGCTTGCTGTCTGTGCCAACGATGCCCTTGACAAAGGACACTTGGAGCTCTGCTTGATCTAAAAGATCACCAGGGGGCCGACCAACACCTGCACCGTGGATTTCACTCCACAGGAGATGTGTTCTAAAGTTCACGTCTTCACTTTCCACCATGGCTGAAAATCAACTTGGTTGGGGCCTTCCTGGCCTCGTTCACCAACTGCTGAATCTCCTGAGCCACCTGCATGGAAGGCTCTCGAGAGAGAGAGAGAGAGATCCGAGAGAAGCAGGTTTGTCCGGGCGCAGAACAATGGCTGAGTCTGGATAATTGCTCCCTAAGCTGCCCAAGCTGCCCTGCACTTGCCAATCTCCAGCGCTGTCAACGCCACATCTTTTTGATGGAAGCGGGAGGCATCAATGTCCAAGTCAGCCAGGGTTTCTGCATAGATCTCCAAGTAACGGCCGTCTTTGGAATTGTGCTTTTTCACAATGTCGGCACCAACGCGCCTGTAGCTTCCACTCTTGATGGCGCCCCAATGATACGCCTTGTCGATCTGGTCTTTCGCCTGAAGCC